CCCCGCCCCCCAGCCAACCCCAGCCTATGTCGTGTCTTCCCTCCACACAACTCACCGAACTCAGTTTCCACCTCCTCTCCCCTCCCAGGCAAACTCGACTCCTCAGTGACCAGACGCAGTCTGCCCCCCACCTGATCCACCCTGCGCCCTCTCCTCCCTCCCAGCCAAACCCGATCTCCCCCCTCCCCACCGGACCAAGTCCGCTCCCCTCTCCTACTTTCCCCCATTGACCAAACTCCGTCTACCCATAACTCCGGTCATCTGAGGAAGGGGGCTGTGCCCACGAAAGCTCATGATCCCATCTACATGTTCCGTTAGTCTATAAAGTGCTACCAGACCGTTTGTTGTTTTTTATGAAATCATAGTGTTCATGATTCAAAGGAATGATAGAAGGGAGAGCAGCAAAATAGAGACAGTGGATTTCAGGAAGGCAGATTTTGGTAAACTCAGAAAGCTAGTACCTACGATCCCATGGGAAGCAAGATTAAGGGGGAAAAACAACTGAAGAGAGTTGGCAGTTTTTCAAAGGGACATTATTAAGGGTCCAAAAGCAAGATATTCCACTGCGTAGGAAAGTTAGAAAGTATGCCAAAAGACCACCTTGGCTTAACCAGGAGATTTTACATGGTCTAAAAATCAAAAAGGAGTCTCATACAAAATGGAAATGAGAGCAAATTACAAAGGATAAAAATAAGCAAACACCACACATATGCAGGGGAAAGGTTAGAAAGGCAAAGGCACAATATGAACTCAAGCTAGCTACAGACATAAAAGGTAACAAGAAGATATTTTATAAGTATATTAAAAGAAAGAGGAAGATGAAGGACAGCACAGGCCCATTGCTCAGTGAGGAGAGAGAAACAATAACAGGAAACTTGAAAATAGCAGAGGTGCTTAATGACTTCTTTGTTTCAGTCTTCACCACAAAGTCTTATGATAAAGGAATGCCTAACATAATGAATGTTAGTGGGAAGGGGACAGGCTTAGATGATAAAATAAAAAAGCAAGTTAAAAATTACTTAGAAAAGTTAGATGTCTGCAAGTCACCAGGGCCTGGTGAAATGCATCCTAAAATACTCAAGGAGCTGATAGAGGAAGTAGCTGAGCTTTTATCTACCATCTTTGAAAAATCATGGAAGAGGGAGAGATCCCAGAAGACTGGAAAAGGGCAAATATAGTGTCCATCTATAAAAAGGAAATAAGAACAACCCAGGAAACTACAGACCAGTCAGTTTAACTTCTGTGCCAGGGAAAGATAATGGAGCAAGTAATTAAGGAATTCATTTGCAAACACCTAGAAGATAATAAGGTAATGGCCAACATGGATTTGTAAAGAACAAATCATGTCAAACCAATCTGATAGCTTTCTTTGATAGGATAACAAGTCTTATGGATAAGGGAGAAATGGCGAATGTGGCATATCTACACTTTAGTAAGGCATTTGATATGGTCTCACATGATCTTCTTATCAATAAACTAGGCAAATACAACTTAGATGGGACTACTGTAAGGTGGGTGCATAACTGGCTGGATAACCGTTTTCAGAGAGTCGTTATTAACGGTTCACAATCCTGCTGGAAGGGCATAACAAGTGGGATTCCGCAGGGGCCTGGACTCGATGACCTATTGAGGTCTCCTACAGTTCTAGTGTTCTAGGATTCTAAGGCAGGAGCTGACCACAGTCCTGCAAGAGCAGATCTGGGTGTTCTGAGAACTGGCCACAGCATAATCACAGTTAAGATCATGTGTGCTGAACCAGTACTGACAAGGCCACGCCGGGGTGATCATAATTACTCAAGCCCAGTCTCTAGATTTTTGCCAAGACTGCCAATAAGAGGGGCCAGCAGGGAATATACTTCATATCTCCCACTCATGACAGGAGAAATGCATCCAAAAGGGTGCCCCTGCCGAGACCCTAGAGAGAGCAGAATTGGTGGTAATGACTGTTCTGTGTGGTAGTGAACAGATCCACTCCAG